CGGTAGCGAGAGATCTGCTCCGATGACTGCAGTGAGGGCCCGGCGCTGCGTCGCCCATGCGGGGCAAACCGCCAGCGTGTGCTGGGCCGAATCCTCACCGCAGTCGCAGTGGTGGCAGGCGGGACTCGATTCCCGCCTAGCGACCGAGTACAGGTACTTTCCGAAGCAACCGTGCCCGGAAAGCACCTGCGTCAGCCGGAAGGAAAGGGTCCCGTGCTGCCGCCCTGCCCACTCGGCGATGACCGGCTGGAGAGCCTCCACGGCGGCGAAGCCAGCGCGTGGAGTCTCCAGCCGGAACGACCATCTCACCATGGTGGCTCGGCGAGCGGCTTCGCGCCACTCGCGCACGTCTTCGGGCGGAGGGCGAAATCCGCTCTCCGCCCGGAAGTCAGCCACTCGCCAATAAACTTCGGCGAGCACTTCCGCCTCCAAATCCCACGGGGGTGATCCGGCCAAGGCACAGGCCGCCTCGGTGGACACCGTGCGGTATCCGCGTATGGCTCTGACCGCCAATATCCTCTGGGGGCGCCAGAGGCGCGCCCTATTCGGGGCGGTCAGAGCCGCCACCCACACCGGTGCACCATAAAGCGCCATGGACCGGACAACCCCCGCGTACAGCCGCCTCGTGGGAACACTGGCCCCACCCAAATTGGGCAAAAGTCGCCCTAGGGCGGAGGCAGTGTCCACCAGCTTCGGACCAAGCTGTCGGAAGTGCTCGTCGAAGAGCCACCTACCGTCTAGGACCAGACCCAGGTACCTCATCTGGGCCCGGACCGGTACGAGGACCGAGCCGACCTCGATTGAGGCGCCGGCGGGTGGACCACGACGGGGCCCATGAAATAATAGGGCCTCCGTCTTATCCAGGGCCAGGGCCTCAATGCGCCCGACCACCTGGGAAACTCCCGTGGCGGCCAGGCGCGCCGCCTCCTGGAAGTTAGCCCCCCGGGCCGTGAGTAAGGTGTCGTCCGCGTAGCAGATTACACCCAGCCCGGGGGGGAGACGCCCTCGTAGGGCCCAGTCGTACCCGATGTTCCACAGGAGAGGTCCTAGGACAGACCCCTGCGGAACACCACACGACATGGCCCTGCGTCTCAAGACGCCATCTCGGTCCTCGTACATGACGGTTCGCTCCTCAAGATAGTCTGCCACCAGCCGCCTCAGGTACTCCGGCACTCCGTGGTAGCGGAGCGCTTCCCTGATGCAGCTAAATGGCAGACTATTGAAGGCGTTGGCGATGTCCAAGGACACCGCCAACACCACTCCGCCGCAGCTCACGGCCTCCTCGGTCACGGCCCTAAGGCGCATCACGGCATCGATCGTCGAACGCCCCTCTCGGAAACCGAATTGGGCGTCCGACAGATCGGGGCCAACCTCGCTAAGGTGCCGGACGATGCGGGCAGAGAGCACCCTCTCAAAAAGTTTGCCCGCCTCGTCCAACAACACGATAGGCCTATAGGCCGCAACCGATTCGGCAGGCCGTCCCGGCTTCTGCAGCAGGACCAGCTTCCCGCATTTCCAGCGCTCAGGGAAGCGTCCGGACGCCAGGCTAGCGTCCAACAACCCCCCTGAGGTGGTCCGACATGTAGTCGAGGGCTCGGGCCATCACTCGGGCTGGAACCCCGTCCGGCCCGGGGGCGGTGTTCTTGGATCGAATCCGTAGAACAGCCGCCCCCAACTCCGATTCCCTGACGGGCGGAACATCAACCTCGCTGCCCCCGTCGTCTCCGGCTGATGCAGCCATCGACGGGGGTGTGTGCTCCGCCCGCTGCGGGAATAGGCCCTCGAGGGCCAGACTCTCCAGCCCAGCTTCCTGCAGGAAGTGGTCGACCACTTCCTGCAGGAAGCTGGGCTGGAGAGTCTCCGTAAGGGGGGGGGCCCGACGTGCGGAGCTTTTGACGCACCGCACGATAAGGGCGACCCCAGGGGTCACGCTCGAGACTCTCCAGCATCTCCTCTCTACACGCATCCTTAGCGCGGCAGATGGCCAGCCTCAGAGTTTTCCGAGCTTCTCGGTACTCCTCATGAAGCCGGTCCACCTCCTCACCGACCCCGAGGTGACGTCGCCGACTACGGGTGAGGGACCTCCGGGCACGTACACAGGCCGCACGGAGGTCCGCCAACTCCTGGGACCACCAGTAGACCTCCTTCCTTGGAGGCCGACAACCACGAACGCTCGGTCGGGGCCTGCGGAGACAGCCAAGAGTGAATAATGGCCGCCTCCTCTAGTAGGTCCCTGTCGAGCTTGGCGACAGCCCACCGCGGGAAGCGGGAAGGGCGCCGCACCGCGTGACCCCTACTGGGGTCCTGGGACCGGGAGAGCTCGAATCGGATGTACAAATGATTCGAGAGCGTCTCGACCTCTTCCAGGACACACCAGTTCCTTACTCGTGCGGCGACTGCAGGGGTAGCGAACGAAAGGTCCACTATTGACCCCCCCTGCTGTCGCACGCACGTGTTGGTGGAGCCTCTGTTCAGCAAACAGAGGCCCACCGACGCCGCCCACTCCTCGACGGCTTCGCCCCTGGCGTCCGTCGCAGGGGAACCCCACGCAATGGACTTTGCGTTGAAGTCCCCCAGCACGAGGACGTGCCCAGACACTAGTCGCCGCATCGAGGCCTCCAAGTTGTTAAGGAAGACCTCGAAGTCGTTCAAACTCCGGTTGGGGGAGAAATATACACCATAAATGGTGATTCCCCCCCAATCGGCGGCAACATATCCAGTACCCTTGTCTCTTAGCGACAAGGGCGGGGAATGAGCCGCCGTGGAGCCGACGACTGCCACGGAGCCGTCCCGGTCACCCATCCAGTTTGGACCGGGAGGGACAAAATAGGGCTCCGCGACTACGGCAACACCTATCGACCACTGTGCCATGGTTTGCAGGAAGAGATCCTGCGCCGCAGCACAGTGGTTCAGATTCGTATTTCAGAGCCTCCCGAATACAACTCCAGGGTAGGGTGTTGAATGCGTTGGAGATGTCCAAAGACACCGCCAGCGCCACCCCACCCCGGGACACCGTCTCCTCCGCCAGGGCCCTCACGCGCATGATGGCGTCTATGGTGGAGCGCCCCCGACGAAAACCAAATTGGTTGTCGTCCAGGTCCGGCCCCTCCCTGCACAAGTGGCTGACGAAGCGATCTGCGATAACGCGTTAAAAAAGTTTGCCCGCCTCGTCGAGCAGCACTATGGGCCGATACGCGGTCCTTCCTGAGCAGGACCAGCCTCCCCTCCTTCCACACACTGGGAAACTGACCCCGCTCGAGATATGCCGTGAAGAGCCCCCTTAGCTGGGGCTCTAGCTCCTTCAGAGCCAGGACGAGAGCTCGACCAGGAACTCCGTCGCGACACGGCCGCTCTCGTCTCTGCTTGTGTCACCTCGGGGACATCGGTGCTCTCCTCTTCTGGAGAGTCTGTGGCTGAGGGTGAAGCCATCGCCGGGGGAACGTGTCCCGCTCGATCCGGGAAGAGGGCCGAAACCACCGCCTCTAGCAACTGGGGTTGCATACTTTGCGTAAGTGGAGGCGCCCAGGGACGCAACTTGCCCCGTACCCAACGGTAGGGGCGCCCCCACAAATCCCGATCTAGGGACCCCAGCAGCTCCTCCCTGGCAAGCGACTTAGAGTCGCCGATGGCCAGCCACAGAGTCTTTTTGGACGCGCGGTACACCTCATACAGCGCGTCTTCCTCGACGGAATCCCGTCGACGTCGTCTCCGGTATCGCGTGTATCGGCGGCGAGCCGCAACGCACTCTACGCGCAGCCGCGCGATCTCGTCGGTCCACCAGTACACCCGGCGCCTTGTGGACTGTTGATGGACACGGGGCATGGACGCGTCGCATATATGCGTCATCGCCCCGCGAAACCACAGCGCCACCGCTTCGACGTCGACGGGGCCGTCCGTCGCCGACTCCCAAATCCAGGACTGGACTAATGCAGCTTCCTCGAGTAGTTCCTTGTCGATGCGCTTAAGCGCCCAACGCGGGCCGTCGTTAATCGGGGTTGTTGGATGGCGGCCGCTCGCGGTCTGGGCAGAGACGTCGAACCGGATATACCGATGGTCCGACAGTGTCTCCACCTCCACGGCGACACTAGCCAGACGCTAGCCACTAGCCACTAGCCACTAGACACGGCGACAGAGGGGCTAGCGAACGAGACGTCCACTATCGACCCACCCCGCTGCCGCACGCACGTGTATTCCGAACCCCGATTCAGGACTACCAGACCAGTCGTCACCGCCCACTCTTCTAGCGCCTCGCCCCGAGGGTCAGTGACCGGAGATCCCCACGCCGATGACTTGGCGTTGAGATCCCCGAGCACCAGAACGGGACGAGGATGATAGCGGCCTACGACGGCGCCCAACTCGACAAGGAAACCCTCAAAGTCGACGAGACTCTTGTTGGGAGAAATACGCCCCCACAATGACGATGCCGCCCGAGACCGCAGCAACCCAGCCGCGGCCCCGAGACGGGTCTGAAGGAATGAAGTACGGTTCGGCGACCACAGCCACGTGGATCGACCACTCTGCCATGCTCTGGAGTAAAAGATCCTGAGCTCTGGCACAGTGATTGATGTTGCCCTGGAGGAAATGGAATTGTGCCATTATTGACATTCCATTCCCTCGGCAACGGTCCTGGACCGGGAATCGGCCGCGGAGCTACTAGCCTGCGGGGGCGGCGAGGTTTCCCCGGCAGGTTTAGAGCTCCTCTTCTTCTTCTGCTTGGCCTTGCTGGCAGGCGCGCCACAGGCCCCTCCGCCCACTTTGTGTCCCGATGGCTTCCCTGCAGCCGAACATAAGCTGCAGTTGAGCGCCGCGGAACACTGGGCCGCCTTGTGGCCGGGCTGACCGCAGCGATAACAATAAAAGACTGCCACATTTTATAGTATTTATTAATAAATATCTGTACAGTACGAATAAGTTATCGTCTAACATAGTAACGTTATGACTAGTAGGTTGACGTATGCTTCGTTGTCTGTTGTTGGTCCGTAGGTCCGTAGGTCCGTAGGTCACGTGATGATCAACACTAGTAGCACTATCGCGAAGCCCGCCACGAGGCACACTACGAGTCCCATCTTTTTCTGAAACACACAAAAAAGGCCGTCGAGGGTATAGTTCTTGTTCATTCTTGTCTAGAATAAATTGCTCTCTGGTCCAAAATCCATTTATTTTCTTTGGATCCCAGTTATGAATCCCAGTTTAATATTTTTAGCGTTGGATTGTACAAAACATTATTTTTTGTCGTTGTATGTCAAATTTTATAAACGCTAGAGAATTACGTTTTATTGTTGAGAATCCCAAAAACTTTTACAAAAAAACTGAATGCAAGTACTTTTAACAGTGAAAATGTTTATAATCTAATTTATATAAATAAAAAAAAACAGTGATAAATATACTTTCAATACTAGAAATAAGCATAGGCCATTACTACGCTACGCTAAATGTGTTCGCGTCACCTACCGACTGACGCAGGTGCTCACTGGGCACGGCTGCTTCGGTGAGTACCTGAATCGGATTGCACGCGAGGAGACGGCACAATGCCAATACTGCGCGGCCGACTGGGACTCCACACAGCACCCGCTGGAAGACTGCCCCGCGTGGGCGTCTGAACGCGAAGTCCTGGTCGATGAAATCGGACGAGACTTGTCCCCGCTGGCAATAATTACTGCCATGATGGCGGGTGAGGAGGGCTGGGGCACAGTGGTCTCTTTCTGTGAAACTGTAATGCTCCAGAAAGAGACCGCTGAACGGGATCGGGAGAGGGCCGATCCCGAGCGATAAAGATGTCGGCGGCGGAACCTCTGGTGGCAGATTAATTGCTGCGGTAGGGGATAGGATGGCAGCCTGACCGTACTGAAAATGTGATCGGGCCGCAACATCTGGATAGGCTGATAGGCCACTGGCTTTCCCTGAGATGGGGCCTAGTTAGGTGCGGCGTCGATCTGGGGGACCTGAAATCACATGACCCGGGTTCTCACCAGAGCAGGGCGCCTAAGGCTGGCCGTCGGAGGCCCGGAGTGGTTTTTAGTGGAAACACCATATACACCTGGCTCCTAAATCCCTAATGAGTCCGCGATGACAGGTATTTTCCACTTCGTCAATAAAAAAAAATGGCTAAATAACGTAAATAATTCATTTAAGAGAAATTGAGTGAATTTCTAAAACAAAATCAGAAACAGTTTTTCCAGTTTACCAATAAATAGATTATACATTTATGTGAAACGCATGCTTATTCGAAAGTTTACTACTGCTTTAAAGATTATATTGGTGATAAATTTTGGGATAAAGTTGCTCTAACCACAAGCTGTCAGAACAATGGTTTGTAAGCATCGTCGCTGATGGATCTTCCATCGACCCGACCGGGTGGAATCATCATTACATATCAGTTGTTCTTGCAGGAGTCTTTTCTGGTGGGTCACGTTATGAACCTGCATAGCTTTAGCTGAAAGCTTGTCTGGCGCCAGCAGGCTGGTTTATGTTAGGAGTTGTAATAGAGATATAAATGTATTTGTGTTTGTAGGTCATCAGGGTAATTTCACCCTTGTTATTCTAGTGTTTCGTTTCGTTTTTAAATTAGATTATCAATTGTACTACTGACGCTTGAAAGTGCACTGTCACAAGTTAATAGTGTCTATACATATACCCGCTGTCCTGTCTCACTTTCATCTATAGATAGGTAAGTTCCCTGCCCTTAATTCTGAAAAGTACTCATGTTGATATAATACTGGGAATCAATGGAAATAGCAAATAGGAATCACCACTAATACCTAAAAAATGGTATCTAAAACTGGGATTCAACGAAAGCAAGTCCTAAAATGGAGCGGATGATGTTACCTTTCTGGCCTTAGTTTTACTGATGGTACCCTTCAAGAGGAGACCGCCGCCGGTGCCGACGTGTTCGGTGGCCTGTAGTGCGTAGTACTCGACACTGTCGACCTGATCCTGCTGCGAGGCCACCAGGTGCGCGAGCTGCGTGAACAGGTCGCGCACCTCGGTGAGCGCCGCCTCCACGCGCGTCAGTTCCGCGTGCCGAGCCTCCACGTCGCGCAGCAGCCGACGCGCCTCCGCTGTCTCCGCCTTCACCTGCGTAGCGAATCACTTTTGTACATTGTTATACATTTAGTAGCAGTAATATTGTGTATAACGTGTCTCTCTGTGTGTAAGATACGTCATTTCCTCTCAGATGAAAAATGCGATAGCACGTCGTACATAATTGCACCTACTTAGATAATTCACATTTATAGATTAAATAAAACAATTATACATACGCACCACATTAGTGTATAAGCCCTGTCTGTATCTAAAATAAAACAGACTAAAAATCATCTCGAGTCTCATTACACTCCTGGCCATACTCAATGGCAAAGTGGTGACCCCGATCATGGCTTAAGAACTAGTAGGACTACAAAACTCTAAGTTACAATTTGCTAGCAATTACAACTACATTGTAAGTATATTTAAAACTAATAGTCAAAGTAACCTACTCAGTATGGGCTTGGTTGGGATAGTCTGAGCGCAATTATTCTAGGCAAGGTAACCTTTTTCAGATGATGTAAAAGAAGAAGGTAAACTGGTACAAGTAAACGAATAGGGCCATTGAGCTGGGGTCGAGCCGAGCTGAACTGAACCAGACATTAAAAGCTATCAAATTCGATCGCCACACTATCACCAGTACATACCTATTTACATGCTCGTACCTACATTATATGCTCGGTACGTTATTCACAATATAATACAACGATAATTGAAGTTGTGCTGACCAAGTTGTCCTGGTTAGACAGTAACTCACGGTGTGTGTTACTGCCTTCCTTCCGTTTATAGTTTTTTTAATAATTGATATATATATATATATATATAACACACACCGTTTATAGTTTTTTAATAATTGAAAACGGTTTTTTTTTATAAATACAACATTGATAGATAACCAAAACCATGCTTGTGCAAACACTTATCTTCCCAATAATCGACTATGGTGACGTGTGCTGTTATGGCCTGAATGCAGATCTCGATAAGTTGGACCGTCTTCTTAATAACTGCATTCGATACATCTTTAACCGCCGTAAATATGATCATGGGTCGCCTTTCCGTTCGCAGCTTAACTGGTTACCCATTCGTCTTCGTCGTAAATTACGTCTTTGCTCTCACTGTCTTATTCACTATTCCTAAGAACCCATCTTCGCCAACGTATCTAGCATTCTACTTCCAACCCCTATGCAGTAATCACGACAGAAGCGTTCGGTCCTCCAATAACCTTCTTCTTCGTTGTCCCTCCCACACGTCTGAGTTCGTAGGCTTATCCTTTTTCGTTCAATCCGTTCTTCTTAGGAATGAGCTTCTACTCGAAATCAGGATGGCTTCCAATACTTTTTTCTTTAAAGTAAAAGTAAAGCAGTATCTGGTCAAACAACTGGCAGAATCAACTTGCTCATGATTTCTTTTTATTTTAATACAAAACTGTTACCAGTATCTACTTGCGTGTGTATGTATGTATTTATATACTTTTATCCTGTATTTATGTATTATGAGGTGTGTACCTATGTGTAATATTAATATGTATAGGTGTAATATTAATATTATAATAATAACGTTTATTTCTCCTCACAATAAAGACTTATTATACACAAAATAGTGAATAATACTTAGGACATTTATTAGCAGTCTAAAATATGTGAGGAGCTGGTGTCCGAAGTAGGTTGATCTTGAATTACGGATCACCAGGACCCCACCCCACAGTAGTTAGATTTACAGGTTTTACATGTGAGTTTATTGTTTTGTTAAGAATTAATACACATAATTGTTCTAAAAGGAGAAGCTAAACAACAAAGATAAAATAAATAATAATTCCACTTTGTGTGAGCACATGTTCATGAACATGTGTGTGTGTGTGTGTGTGTGCGTTTTGTCTATTTATACCCGCGTGTGGCTGAGTGTGGGTGTTATTAGTGCGTGTGTGAATGGCTGTTGGAAGTATGGGCTGGATTGTATTTGTGTGTTTCTACTACTTTAATAATTTTTCCGTGGCTCTGTAGTCAAGATTTTGTAACCAGTCTGTTACCATACATTTACACTTATCTCTTGTCTGTAGATAAATTGACAAAGTTTTGTTTTAATTTGTTATAAAGATGGCTACTTTGGTAACAGTAGAAACGGTGTGAAAAACTCGTATTAAACCGTACTGTTTCAGAGATCCTGTGTTTCCTGCGTACATTTTGTATTTTGTCAGGTTCATATTTAATTTCGGAATGTTTTTTAATAACGGTGTGCAACACAAACAGCTGGCGAACCGAAAGCACTTTTGTTAGATTATAAAGGTCGGTGGTAGGATGAAAGAATGGGAGAAAGTGACATACTTTCAGGATCGCTCTTTGAGCTCTTTCAATTTTAAGGAAGTAGGTTTTTGTAGCGCCTCCCCACGTGGTTATGCAATATGTTAAAAGCGATTGGCAGAGTGCTAAATAGACGGATTTGATCAAATGGTAATCCGCCATATGACGCAGGTTTTTAAAGATAAATATAAGTTTTCGTGTACGCGCTGCAAGCATATCAATATGGGAATGAAAGTTGAGTTTCTCGTATACCATAATACCTAAGTATTTAATTGAAGTGGTTCTTTGGAGTCTGGGGCAAGTACAGTTAGAGTGGTTGGAGTTATCACATGCATGAGAAATTATTTTACTATTTGAGATTATGCCATCATCCGGCGTTCTTAGGGAAAACATAACATATTTGTTTTTTTTATATGTTATATGACAGATTTGTAAATGTGTATATATTATATGATTTTGTATAAAGTATACATACAATATTAAATTTCTAAATCAACTAGTTACAGTTAATTTAGAAATGAACCAGACAATAAAATTATGTACTTTCTGTTTTCTCTGCATCACCCAATGGTTGGCTGGTAGAGAATGCCTTAGGCATTAAATCCGTCAATGCACCAAATGTGCATGATGTGTAAATAAATAAAATAAATAATTCAGTTAAGGCCGATCTCGCTATCGTGCATAAAAATAGTTCTTGCTTTTTACGTAAAGAGAATTTCTTGCACGCCGGGCTGTAACCTACTTGGGGTTGCGCGTTGCTTATTGTAATAAATACAGTGGCATACTTAGTAAGCTAACTAATACGCTACCAATCGTTATACAAAGCACAATCAATTAAGGAGCCGCTTCTCTATTTACGAGTACGTTTGACTATTATTTCCTACTCTATTTCTATTTCCTACTCAGCGACTCCTCAACAACTTTCTAAGTTAATTGGTCTGTACCTATAGCTGCCGCCCTGATTTATTACATTCTGTTATTTTTTGTATTTGTCTCTCTCTCTCTCTCTCTCTCTCTCTCTCTCTCTCTCTTTCTGTTATATTTATTATAAACAGACATGTTTCATAATATAACTAAGATGTAATGACTCCATGCAAACATAGCTTTTATAGGCAGCTATTTTCCAACTTCATCAAATTTTCTGCCTAGGTAGTAGTATGATACATACGCTCCCCATACAGGCCCTGACTGAGAATTATCAAGTTCTCGCTAGAAAGGCAGATGTTTGTGCCAGATGATAATGCCTGTGAGAAGTTCTGACCGGGAACGTATGGCCGCAATGAATAAATCTCTCTCGATACTACAACTTTCAAGCTTAACAACATGATGTGGAAGTTGGCTCCCGTCACACAAACTAAACAATGTCATTATTTATAGGTACCATTTAAACTACTGTCCGTGTTTCTGTCTACTAATTTCATTTGTGACATGATTTTTTCTTATTTTACCAACTGTTGCTAAATTCACAAAGTTGTATGTAAGTATGGTAACTTCGACAGCGAATCTTAAGTTTTGTGCATCGTCAACTCCGGTTTAACTATTGTACAGTTTTACACACACAACTAACATAAATATAGTTCAAGATGAATATTTAAGTATACAATACTAAAAGAGTAGTTTTGACTTCTTATCATACTTGTGTGTTGCTAAACTAGAACTTGCAGGCGCAGTCGCTCAAAATTACTTATTCTGTATTTAAAGCTATTCTGCTATATACTAAGTCTATCAATATATTAGACATAACAAGCACACGTACAGATATATTTATCTAAGTTACATAGTGGATACTTAATACCTGATACGAATTCAGCTTTGGAATAAGCATCAACTTACGTTGTCGACGAAGAGCGAGATGTTGTTGGAGTCGAGCAGGCTTTGGCACTCCTCGTCCGTCACGGTGAGGTTCGCTGAAACATGACGGTGGTTACGTCAGTCATCGTTCAGTGATCCTACCTCGCACAAGGCGTCGCCGTCGGTTCGGAGAGGGTCGCATGACTCAGATTGCGCATTGAGACGTGGCTGGTGGAGGTCGCGGGGTCGTTGACCGCGCTGCGGCTCGCGTACTGCGGCCGACATCATTAGAGCAAATTAAACTGATGCAGCCGTTCAACTTCCCGCACCGTTAACTAGCGCAAACACTGCCACGCACGCACACACACACACACATACACACACGCACGCACACACACGCACCCACACACTCACTCGACCTACGAAATGTTGATCCTGACACAGTGACCTATTATCATCAAAACAACTTCTTTGTGTCGTGCTCTTAGCAAAAAATATTTTAAAAAGTTCATATCAAAGATCACAAGTTCGATAATTATCTAAAAAGCATAGCTGGTGTCAGAGTATCGTTGATATTTTCACGTACACATAATCTTACATATATTACGTACATGCCTATAACGTACAAGCTTTTCCCACATGAGCAGTGTTTGGAAAAGCAGATCACACGCAGCACAAGGCGTTACCGCGTCGCGTCGGTGGCGCTGCACCGCGTGTGGCGCTATATAGGTAGGTACACAATGTATACAACGCAGTAAACACAACATTTATAAACATTATAGTGTAATGGGCCGATTATGTTTTTGGCTCGGCGTGTTACAGGTCATCGCCGCCGCGCCGCCGGTTCCGTTATGTGCATCATCTATTGTTTGTTCATTTAGTTACTTTGCAATGGTGTGAGGTGAGATTTGGTAATGCTAGGTAGCACCAAGTAGACTAAACTCAAGTGCACAGCCAAGACTTGTTCATTAAGTGGTGTTAACGTATTTTAATGTATACTTCGTTTCACATTCGGCATTCGGGATCAAAATCAATTTACAAAATGCATATGAAAATTGCGGCCGCACGTTTTACATATTGTGTTATTATACTCGTACATATCATATTATTTAATTGCGTAGTTTGGCAAACGAGCCGACGGGTCTCTGATGGCAAGTGACTGCCGCCACCAAGTGCGTTGCCACCCTTAATAATCTTTATTGAATATTAGATACGACCTACGGTAGGTATACGTTCCACGAACGGCATTTGTCACTCTCTCCAAGTCCATTACGTACTTAATACAAGAAACTTAATACAATTAGGTATCCATATCAGTCTCCCTGTTTCAGTTGTATTATTATTTATTTTAAAATAGTATCATGATTGTGATAATTTACACAATAAACGTAGTTCGGCGAGAGACCCATACTTGAGCATAAACGGGCCGCTCGACTTGGCTGATCAGGTGACCCGTCTGCTCTTTTGCTACCCAGGTATTTCATAAAGGAAATATATTGAAAAACATTGAAGTCACGAGTACAGAATGTAGGTGGTAGTGTTGGAAAGAGAAATATAGTAGTTAAGTCGTACTCAGTTTGATCTGTTCGTGCAGCAGGTGCAGCTGGTGGTCGCGCACGGTGTCGAGCGCGGCGTGATGTCTGTCCAGTGCTTCAGCGTACAGCTTTCGCGTGGCGGCGTACTGCAGACGCGCGATGCGCGCGGGCACGTCGTTGCGCGTCGCGCACGCTTTCACGCGCGCCTCCATCTGCCGCAGCGCACCGCACACTTTCAGGCCGGTGGCATTCGACGCCGTCACCGCGCTCTCCAGCTGCTCCTGCAACTCTGCCGACAGTCATAGATATATGTAATGCGAGTCTCCCATCTGAACACATAATTAGCATGGTGGCAGAGCATAAACGTACGTTTGTTGGTGTGGAAGGTGGGGTCGGCGTGCAGGCGCCGCATCAGCTGTGTGTTTCCGTTGACTTGGTGGATCCACTCGCGCATCCTCTCTACCTGCAACACGAACATACATACACATTGAGAACTTCTTTACCATATTAATCAAAATCATCAGAACTTTTCTCCTAGTATTATAAGTTTTAAAAGTATTAATAGTGAGCCATGGCAGATGCGTAGGATCCATATTTTAAAAGGAGTGACACTTGACTGGTATAAACCAATTTAAACGTACATAATTATACATCAAACAAAAAAGATAGAGAATAACTTACACAAAAAAAAATAAAAAAAATTATAGTTAAAAAAACTACAAAACACGCTTTCTATAGAAAACCAAACTAAAAAATAGGAAATAAATTTGAAAGAAAGCGTTGGGTGCCTGTTGTCAATAGTAAAAAGCACCCCACGCTTTTTTTTTAAACTATTTCCCCATTGCCCCAGTTTTTTAAAACTATTTTTTTTTTTAATTACTGTATTGTCATCGGTCCTCGATATATCTACAAAGTTTGAACGAATTCTGACCGTTTAAAATCAGTCAAAATCACGCCCAAAGGAGTCGGTTACAAACATACAAGTCAAGCTAATATAAAGCGTGTCAAAAGAACAAGAAGTATACGCAACGCAGATTCATATTTTAATAGGGTTTTTTAAATGTTCATAATCAAACTCACACTCAAAAATAGTTTTAGTTTGTCACTAGATGGCGTGGCAGCTAAAATAAAATCTCGTTATGATTGTTTGCAAACCGTAGTGTATAAGCATAAAGAATTGATGTATTAATATGAGCTATTTGGAAAGGTCAATAAACAGGCTTGTGCCAGAGGGCCTACTACTCGATTGTGGATTACATGGAGGACAAGAATGCTTGGGATTAATTAGCGCAGGCTTTTTCTTTCTTAAGTAAAAATGTGGTGTGGCTAGTATGTTTTTTATAATTATTATTTTTTCTATTTTTTATGTTTCACTTCATTTTCTCTTGTATTCGTTTTTTCTTCTTAATCTTGTTTTCTCTTCATTGTCTTTTCACCTTTTAGTCCTTAATAACGGACATACTAGCACACATCAAAACAATGTTGTGGTATATTTAATAGTGCCATTGTATCTACCTGTGAATTGCAAAAGAGTGGCCATGAGTTTGTTTGCCCTTTCTTCTCATAAGGCTCAACCCCTTGGAAACGGGCGGTTGTAGATCGGCACAGGCCTATCATAGATTTTGTATGGGTTTGATTTTTGTTAAATTTATTTGGTTACTATTTGACAAAACAGAGATTGTTGCTTTTGTGTGTGTTGATCTATGACTTTAGAGTCTACATGAAAGACGATTTCAAACAATTTTGGATTTTTTTTGAAATAAAGAAAGTTTGAGTTTGAGTTTGAGTGGTTCAATTTGAATTCCTACTCGTGTCGTGTAGATAAAAGATCACTTTTGAGCACTAAATTCGGTGCCCTAACATTTGATGGTTCTCGCCATTAGTGTGAGTGAGTGAGTGAGTGTGCGAGTGTATTAGATTTAACTGAAACTGAAACACAGGATGTAATATGTCTGTTTCAGTTATCCTTATCTCCTCGCTTATCACAGGGCCATTATCGCAGCGCGAGATGCGTTACCCATGCATGTATACGAAACGCTTTACGCTATAAACGAAGAGTTAACGATTTTTCATTAAATGATAGTTTTCATCGATGATGTACCGGCTGAGTCGCCACTCGTGTGATATCAGGTTTCGGGGGTGGGCTCGGATCGAATCTCATCCGCAAACTCGATATTACACACGACGTTGTTGACGCTTTAAAGAGTGTTTATCTAACACCTTATAAGACATTTGCATAGCGGTACACATTAATGCGTATGCTCGTCCAAAATAAAACGAACATACTTCCAATAGGATGTACATCGAACAAATTACTGTTTAGGTGGCGCTGACATGATTATGTTCACTCTATAGACTGCAGCTGTCACTCTAACCGACTCAAACATTTCCTTTCAGCATGTGGCCCTTTTTCTTAACAGATACACCCATCAGATACACTGTGCCTGGGTAGGTAACGCCAAGGTAGGCAGTATAGCTAAAAAGCTTCAAATGAAAGTTAATTTTGACACGTTTACCTCAGTTCGCTTCTCAGATTACATTTGTTATATTTAATGTCTTTATTGTTGTGTAATAATTATGATGAGTCGTTGTCAACTCTCTCTTACTGTTTTCTCAGAGCGATAACATCGTCCGACTGCAGCAGACATTTCAATATGTCATTGACACAAGCATGAAACACAGACGTGCCTGAACGGAACGTGATTCAGCGAAAAGCTGAATAACTGAGCTTGGTTCACAATGCAGGTAGGTACGTGCAGTAACACTTGGTGCACCTGAGCTATTTCTGTGTCTGTTCACTAGACATGGGACACAATCACAGTGAAACGTGAATAACCGGTGATTTATCATTCCAATTTTTTAAAATACGTTAGGGTTACTACTTACTCACGCGTAGTTGCCAATAAGCTGTTTTCAGACGATGCCTAAATACCCTATTTCACCTATTTGACAGTAAATATAGCTTTACTGTTAAATAGCATCTAAACTACCTACCTATCTTTTTTGTTCCTTTTTTACCTGTGGAAACCCCTTCGGGCCGTCACCCTACCGGAGATTGCAGCTGGGTGGTGTATCGAAATCGGACCGACTAGAACCACACAGTGTGCCACTCCGCCCCTGTAGTAGGAGGGATGCGGGAACTGCTGTTATTAAGACATCCGGACCCCTCCTAGCACCTGCCCGCAACGGCGCGGGCACCACCTTTGGGTACATTCTCTACTTAGGCGACGTCCGGCACACGCCGGCGAACGTCGCCGCCTCGCGGCTGGCCGTTATGGCGGATGGCCTCATGGCTCTGGTAAGCGCGCCTCCGCCGCCCGGTTCGTCGGCGTACCTCTTCGGCCGGAGGCCGACTGCCACTATCCGCCCTGAGCTCAGCCGTCCGCCGATAAACTACCTACGTAGCAACCCTAACCTACAAACGCAAAAATAGAATGATAAATCACAGTTCACTGTGATTTTGTCCCATCTATACCTACTGTTTACCAACTGTTGTGTTTCAAGGCAGAGCTAACCAAGCTATGTTCATGTGCCAAGAATAAAATTTGGATCATTGTACATTTGCTGCTAACTTAAGGTTTTAGGTTTTAATTAACTTAATACAAGCGATGAATATTAGTAAAAATAGCCAAACCAACCCAATGACGTCCAACAATGAATAAATAATATGCACTAAGTAATAAACGTCAAAGCAAAATTAGTTTTTTATTTTGCTTTGCTTGTTTGTATCACTTACATACAATTTGTAGTTTGTTTACTTTATTCGAAATTACATATTCTTATACCTATATGTGTATAGGAGTATTATAATTATACGTATGTTGTCATTCTAACAATTTAATAATATTGGAAGCTTTATCTTCACTTCCCGTCTGGATATTAAATAATAGCTCATCAACCACTTGGTATACGAGTATTTGTGTTGCATTATGTTGGACACTCAAGGAATTGGTATTATTTGTTATGAATCGAAAATAGATATCAAAGGTCAACAACTGTTACGTTATTGTGAATGATGGTCACGTTTCAGGTAAAGTTGTCTTACAAATCTCAAATAGATACCTAGTAGACATTGGACAAAATTACAGTGAACTGTGATTTATCATACGAGTTAAGCGTACGTAGGTTAGGGTTGCTAAGTAGGTAGGTCAGATGATATTTAACACATAGTAAATCAGTATCATCAATACAGTAAATCTAGTATTTTTTTAATTATTATGTAGGGAGTGGTAAATATAATAATAAAATAATTACTAGATTTACTGTTAAATAGGCAAAATGGGGCAAAACAACACGGGAGTAAGTAGTAACCCTAACCTACACGTGTATGTGGTCCGGATGTCTTAATAACAGTTCCCGCAGTTCCCGGATCCCTCCTATCACAGGCGTAGAGTGGCACACCGTGTGGTTTTAGTCGGGACGATTCAGACACACCACCCCGCCGCAAACCGCGGTAGGGTGAAGGCCCAAAAAAAAATGGGTACATGTATTTATACAGTTACTTTTATATGCATATACCTATGTATAGTTTTTACTGAACATCTCTTTAGACACGTTGTCCAAAAACGTGATGCGATGAACAGTTACAGTTAATCGATGGTGAAGTGATTGAAGAAGAAATGGTGACAATTCAACATATTTGTTATCACCAATAGTTACCTACATGTTTGTTTTCACAAATGTGCCGTACATTTAGACATACGAGTATTCCCACAATTACTTGTGACAGTTTTACTTGCGACCGATGACGCAGCGATGATTGAAATTCATATTTATTGCGAGGTACATTGTAAACGATATCAGCACAAACATATGCAAATTAGCGATGTATCGGTAGGTAAGCGCTAGACAGCTGCGCCTGCGGGTCGCAGTTAACATTACACCGTGTTACGCGTGTCGCGAGGTGCAGTGAGCGGTGCATCGCGCCTCGGCTCCAGGCCAAGGACGGTCACTGCGATAAACCTCGGCGACTAATAAACATGAAGCTTCTCAGCGACCTCCGTGCACGTTACACATAAAATATGTGTAGGTATGTGTTCACGTGCAGTGACGGGTACTTGCATAAGCAACAACAAAACGAATTGACTTTACCTATCATAAACGGTGTATTATTATTATTTACAGCATAGGCAAGATGTACGTAGGTATAAATAAATTATAGTTTGAAAAATAACTAAAAAACACGCTATTGTAACGAGACGAACTAAAAAGTAAAAAATAATTTTCTATAAGTTACAAAGGAAATAATTTTATCTTAAAAATGCGTGGGGTGCTAGATCTCAATTGTTGTAAAAATATTTTACAGACAGATATTGGTAAAAGTATAGTTATTAAATTATAAAATATCTTGAAAAGAAAGCCGTGGGGAGGGGTCGGACCGGCTTTCTTACGAGAAAGTGGTATTTCTTGTTGAAGTTATACAATATATATTTTTGAAATAACAAAACGAGACCTACAAGATAAACGCAGTGAACCTAGTAATGCAGAATGAATGGTTAGCTCGAGGTGAACTTTGTATCCCACCAGCATTGAAATACGATTTACAAACACACTTTTATACGATCACCAGTCACCTGCCTTATTATAATTGTACCTCAATGCCTTTCAATTTACTCTCCCGATCAAACAACCCAGTACAGTGGGGAAAAGCTACAGAAAAAGCTTGTAAGATGTGCAGTGCGGAAATAGGTACAGCCAGGCCTTTACTGACAGGTTATAAGGCGCTACTAGACCGGGGTCATTATTCACGTCGTCATGATAGGATAATACAAATCATACGCGAAGCTAATAACAACAAACATATCTACAAACAAACATAACATATCTCTGGGCCCTGACTAGACATATTTATTTTTGCAATGTCAATTAAGCGTGTAGCATTAGTAGAACTCGCGGTACCGTGGGAAACAAACATCCCTAAAGACCACGCTTTATAAAGAAACAAGTACTTTGTAATTAACCAATGAAATAACTAAAAATGGTTATTTCGTTGCGTCGTGTGCCGTGGAAGTGGGTGCGAGGGGTATACCAGATAAATCTCTCTATAACCTACTAAAAGACCTTGGATTGCCAAGAGCTTCAGTAACTTCTTTTCTAAAACAAATGTCCAAAGTGGCATTGCTAGGCTCGTATCAAATATGGTTAGGTAGAGGGGATAACACAGCAGACGGTGAAGGTGAGCGGTGACGCGTCGCAAGGAGTACTTCCTATACCTACTCCTGGGTCGTTATTCCCAGGCGCTGTCGAAGTCGCATGTGTTGCTCCCATCTATCACGCGATGGACCCGGTACCTTCACGGTGAATCCATAGAACGCTAAGAAATAGATTTCGTCATCGGTCTATGATAAGTGTGCGAAGATTCAATTTAATTCGACTCGTTGAAGTGGGTCAAAATCACGTTCGAAGATGCCGTTATATACACACCAAGCTTATAAAAGCGTGTTAAAAAGTGCTCATTTATTAACTATAATGGATCGTGCATGTGAGCCATGCTCCGGTACGTCTGGGCCGGCTCCATCGGAGTGACACGATGACACCGCGGCTTCGCAGAAAACAGGTATTAAGCTATTTTTTTTTGTTTTTCACCGCGTGAGTGCGGTTACCGGAGCCCAAACCCTTTCTCCCCCTGTTTATAGGGGGGTGGAGGAACTCAACGATTGGCAACGCATTTGTGAGTTTTAACTTGCAGGTGTCCATGGCCAACGGTAGTCACTTACCATCAGGTAGCAGCAGGGACCCGTCTGCTCGTTTGCTCTACTACACCATAAAATTAAAAGATCGATTATATTTTGAGATATTTAGAATGATAGATATGATATATGATAGATCTTATACACAGGTTATAAAAAAAGTGATCAAAATATAATTGTACGTAGGTACATATTTACATTAATAAAATGATTCATATTTACAAACCGTTTGATTAAAATAATGAGTAAAATATTTTTCATAGGAATAGATATTTTAAATAGAACATTGCAGATTAATAAAAAATCTAAACTTATGTGACAGAAAATACAATCAGCAATGTTTACGACCCCAGCAGAACAGCACAGTGACTGGCACTAGGTGTACTAGATAAAGTACATAGAGCGCGCGTGCACTGATCAACGCGATATCGTCCCGCTAATTAGTTGGGTCGTAATGAGCGCAATGAGCCCGCGTTGTTAACTACCGCATTCATTATAATTAAACGCGTTGAGTGCCAATCGTACACTCGCACACGGCGCGTCCACTCGCTGTCCACCCGCTAGCCAAGGTACGGTGTATTACAGACCTCTTGGAAGATTTCATCTATCTCGGTGTTCTGGTGCACATGATCCTTCATGAGCTCCACAGTTTCATGGTACACCCCCGCCGCCGCGCCATTCGCCAACTGGAACACATCAGTATATGTAGGTACATTATATGCGTAGCTACATTGAGCATTACTGAGACTAGTGAGTAGTGGCCAGTGTCCTGGCCGGGCCAACCAAACCATAGCCTTTTTATTACGTGAAGTGTTACTCGCTCTGGCAGTGAACGGCGACACTTAAAACTTCTTTTCTTTTCTTTTATTTAAAAAGACAACTCCCGCATTAGGAATACATTCCTATGTCGCAGGGGACTTTTCACACATACATGAAACGGACACAAAGAACACCCAGACTCAGAACAACAATTTGTGGCACATACAAAGTGTCGTCCCATGTAGGGTTTGAACCCACAACACTTGGCGCAGTAAAAGGGGCGTGGCGACCGCTTAAAACACTACGCCATCCGTGCAGTCAAAAATGACACATAAGAGTAAAAACAAGATCACGATAAACCGAATTCAAAAGTAACAAGTTAAATATTAATAAACGCCGACTGCCTGAAAATCGTAGAATTATTTTCAAACGTTATTTCTTTTTTGCATTTCTCATTCCAATTTAAATTTGTTAATTGAATATATTTTTGTCAGAGATTCTTGAAACCCTCAATTTTGGCACTCCACTCTATAGATTTTGAAGAAAATAAGTTTTCGAAACATATAATTTGATGCCAAAAGTCCGCCATTTTAATCAATAGAAATAAATAAAATTGAAGTGTCTGTTTGTAATGTCAAAATAATAGGTTTTTTGCACGATACCTATGCTTACTGTAAAAACCAGTTTTTTTGTATGTCTGTTTAATCCAGGTAATCTTCTAAACAGTCTTGACCGATTTTGATAAAAAAAAATCTACCAGGCAAGAGTAACTTAGGCTATTTTGCTCTCAGATAAACCCTTTAAAATTTTGGCCGGTCCTTGAATCGAACCTACTAACCCAGCGCTTTTCAAATTCCACGCGAACGAAGTCGCGGGTACTAGCTAGTTCTTTATAAATTTCATTCAGCCAGTGCCAATCTCACGATTAGACAGAGCGTGTCAAAGAAATATACATATTACATACATAAACTCGAAACCACCCCTCCTAGAGCAGATGACTGAAAAATAAACCAACTGGACACTTGTAACAAGTTGTGTACGTACAGTGTGTATAGCCATTCTAGGTTCAGCTTGACCTCTCTCTGGCAGCTCATGTTCATAGGCGGACTTAGATCAGTAAGTTTTAGGGACGTATGTAAATTATATAGATGTTTACAAAATTTAAAAGATATATAGACATTTTGAGAGCCTGAGGAACTAACTTATTATCTGGGCTCCTCATAAATCTAAATATAGGCTCAGGTCAAGCGCCGCTGATGTGCACACTTCACACTTTAACCCAACGAGATGAACATATTCTGTTGTGCTCTGAGTAAATTCACAAGGGTAGCGTTGAATATTATTTGTAATAATATGAACATGGAATACGACGGGCTTGTCGTTCTGGTGGGCCGGAGGTTACTTTTTTATGAAAGATTAAGGCTCTAGTCAGAGCCTCAATCTTTAATTTAATTATTTTTTGTAAAAGCACGTAAATTCAGTCCATTGGATTTTGCCTCCCGCGAATCGATAGACTCAAGTAGCAAACGTTAGGTGGAGTTCAAGTATAACGGTTTACTAAATATGTTTTCTGAGTAAAGCAAGTTGGAATTAATTTCTAATAAGCGCATTAACTTGGAAAAGTCACAGGTGTCCGTCTGGACACCGACATGGACCGGGCCTATGTATGGCATAGAGTGTACACCAGTGAGACGGGCCAACTATATAACAATTCACTCCAGTTGTTCTCAAAATTCTGTGCTCGTATTTGAACATTTCTATATGGAACTAACAGGTTGTGAAAATTAGTACGTACTTAAACTAATAGTGTTATTAGACGAGTGGTTAATGAGTTGCCTTAGGATCGTCAAATGTGATTGATTGCAATAATTGTGCATTCTATTAAGGAGCCTTCGTAAGCATTTTATTTTCAATAATAAATGCAATATAGTGTAAATATAATGCTATAGTGGTGTGGTTTACACGCGTACTTTGTGAGCTCGTATAACATCATAGATCGGAGTTTGCACTAAACCGTCTAATTAGGTCGAATGGAGATCCTCGGACAGCGTGGGGTTTATCTGTCGATCAGATTCCGTAAATATCGCACAGGAGTCGACACACGACAAACATTTAAAGTAATTAATGAAAAATATAACATTTTTGTGTTTTTATTTCTTTTAAGTGACCATTTCAGAAAAAAAACAGGTATTCCATACCTCTCTCTCCTACGTAAATAGTTGCTTATTCGATCAATGTCAGATCATGTTCAATTTGTCAGGTTCAAAATAAGATTTCTGTATAAAAATAACTGTACAATCAATTGCTAATACTGTTAGTTGTTAGTGTTGCATTGTTCACGGCACTTCACGGGGTGCACCTGCTTAGGTTTAAAGGTTGAACCTTAATACAATAATATAAGCGTAGGACAATTCCGTAAAAGAATACATATATAAAACGAAATTAGATAGGTGGTAATCTAATAAGATATCCAATAGGTATTTTTAAAGTGAAATGCCATTTATTTTAAAATACATACTTTTATTGGATAGGTATATAAAAGCTAACCTTCTAAGTTTGAATATTATGGTTAATACAAAAACAAATATCTTTATTTTCAGTAAAAGAATACTATAATAACTTTAAAATAATGATTTGTTGTTAGATAGACTAGATGAGATAGAAAAAGATTACGAAAGTACGATAGAAGAAGAGTACGAAAGCAAAACGATAAACATAAATAAAATTAAGGACTTAGCTTTTATTTTTTAATACACTAGCGATCCGCCCCGGCTGCGCCCGGGTGCAATGTAAATACTAATACTGCTAATGTGTTATAAGTTTTTAAAATATACAACAGGACATCTTTATATGCAATATTTATGGGTCCCCTCCGCTCCTGCCGGCCGCTGCCACCCGGGACGGATATACGGCCCGACGCGGCGACGACCTTGCCCCCGCATTTTAAATCTTTGATATATGTGTAATAAGATATTCTTTGTAACGATATACTGTAAAAGACAATTTTGATCTACATTAAATGCATAACGTATCTAACGTATTTATTTAGATAAGGAAATAATACAGTGTTGATCAAAATAGCTTCGTAAATTATCCATTATTTTTTGTAATATGTAAAAGATAAAAATGGTTACTATGGGTTATCCTTAGAAGATAGACATGTACCACCACCGACTTTTTTGTAGATCTTTTTAAGATATACAATTCCATAATACGTTATTTTGATCTATCTCGTAAGGTTAAGCCAGCGTTTGCAATGAAAGCGCACAAAAACATGTGTTTATGACTTCACATTATAAATCATTGAAATTCTCGAATTTCCTCTACTATAATATGCATGTATTATACATATAAACCCGACTCTTGAATTACTCTCACTAAAAATAGCGTAGGTTGAAAGATCGAAGCGAACAAGAAAAAAAACAACTTCATTTTATTTTAAACGTTGCTAGTATATTTCGTTTGAAAAACTAGTAGGTTTTTAAAATATACACAATTATTAATAGGCTTTCATAAATTAATGAAAAATAAGTAATTTAACAAAATTAAAATATTTAAAAAAATTACATACAGGCGCCCAAAAATTTCTCCGTATCGTCGCCTACTGGTAGCGTTCCTAGAGGCCTGGGAGCATTACCATTGAATCTATCACGTGGTAATGGGTGTTCAAGACGTCTAGCACATACAGTACGCTATTATCAGGCTTTGGACAGTATGTATTGGGCCACTCGTGTTTGTTTTATGGTCTAAGGCGACAAACAAGCACACGGGTGGCAATTGACATCAGCCGCTCATAGACACATGTAACTCAAGGGCTCCCACCGGGATGCAGGCCCCGTCAATGAAGAATTATTTAGTTCTTTGAGCGATATGTGCAATAGAAGCACCTCACACTTGAAGAATACGTGTGTGATGTGATGTGTTATGATAACGGGCGAGTGTGCGCGTACGGCCGGGAGACGGCGCGTCGCGTCAAGCGTGCCCAACGTAACGGACTTGCTTGCATGTCACGTAGTGAGTGTAACACTCTAGTGCGCAGCCACGCAGCGCCAGCATTCTTGCAAACGATCTGTTGGCGGCACACGCTGCACTCGTCATCGAGTCGCCGTCGCGAGATATTCAATGGCAGTATTATACCTACTGATGTCACAAGAACTGCCGGTGTTTGTTTACAGTGGACATGATGTCATTCGGCGATGTACATGACACAGATAAGCAAAAGGCATAATTTATGTCGCATCTCGGGAGCGCTCCGCACAGAAAGAGCTTCTGTAAGTCTTCTGAAAGTAGAGACGGTGACGTACTTACGTGTCGGAGTTCTGCCAGGCGGTCTTTGCTCCTCATGTTTGCGTCAGCGTACAGCGTGCAGGTGAGAGCCGGGCCGCGTCGCGCCGCGCCGCGCGGTAGAGGTGTGCTCGTCGCCGTATCTAATCGCGCACTGATAACAGCGTTGATATCACGCGCACAATTTACACCACACTTACATAAGGTCACTACACTCGCGGCTACTGCGCGCTATGTGGGACTCACGACTGCCCACAATTTTGAACAATGTGCCTCTGTTATTTGTGTAGTATGACCGAACAAAGAAGACAGGAACTTTTCGATTAAACTATAATATAAAGGAGCACAGTGAAGTGGGCAAAGACCTGACTTGGCGAGGTCGTCCGCGCGTTGTGCGAGTGCCAGGCGGTGCGGTGTAGCAGCGCACCACACTCCGACTGTTTGCGGTGCACATTAGCGCGCGCGCACCACGTGGTGCACTCACCGTACGCTACAGGTGTACGTCACCGGCGGCGCTCCATCAATGAACTGTGAGCACCGACCTCACGAGGCTACCTCGCCACTGTCGGCACAGCGCGAATGCGACCTATCTCTGTGCTGAATGTGACCTATCTCGACCACAAATTGTGTATCAATGCAAGCTAATAGGATAAAGTATAGAATTCGTAATAAAACTGTACAGCATAGTTTTAATTCCAAATAGGTACAATACTTGGATGTTCAAGTCTACACTACGTTATTATATTATAATTACCTACACAATTATTTACATGACATCATCACATCAACAGGCCACTGCTGGACATAAGCGTCTCCTTCGGAAGGAGGTTTTGGCCTATTACATATGGCTGGCTGGCCAAACTTGGGTTTTCCTTACCTTTGAAGTGCTGTTATTATGCGTTGTCTGCTTAGTCGGCTCTTACTGACTCTTACATCTTGGGATGTGACATAGTTTGACACTATTCTTAATCCGTCGCCTAATTTTCTACGTATAATTTAGACAAAGTTTGCACAAAAGCCGAACGTCAGTACCTGCTCGGTTTTTATGTAACTACCTAACCTTCAGCTGGTCATGTATTTTAACATTAATTGAATGTAATGAATGATGTAAAGGTTATTACTGTGTGTGATCATGATTACAAACATTATCTCAGTGTTTTATTGTGGTGGTGGGTGTACGGCCGAAGTACCTACTTGCTCGGAACCCGTTGTTCCGATGATAATTCAAAAAAAGAACACAGTTGCCGGGGTCCACAAATTAAGAAATTATATTGCATACACTTATGTAGTTCTACAGCATAGGTACGTGTTGTCGGACAAATTCGTGAACTGACTGATATAGGAACAGGCAGATTAGTATATTTTAGTTTTGGCCTACTATAATTCCGTAGGTATATGAATGTACTCCCGCCGATATTCAGTCATTTCGTGCTATTACAAAACATTTGAAGGTAATGAATATGACAACTACGTAGAAATAAATTATCATGTAATGTCATACTAATTAATGAGGTGCCATTTACACAACAAATACTAAAGATGTAGTGTACAGTGCCATCTGTGAGCTGATGAGAGTACTAACTAAGAGGTCGGTCAGTATGGCGCGCGTCGGGGCGCGTCTAAACTTACCACGATCGCCTCACTACATAGCATATAGGTGGCGTTGCCTGCAACTGATATTTTTCTAGTTTTAAAGTTGCAAATAGTTGTAATGTCCACAGAGTCTGTCTGCTGTATTTGCTTATATGCAATATTTAAAGATTTTTATTTCAACAACGACCATACGGTTAACTATTTTACTTACCATGTGTTTATTAGCTTCACTTCTGTATATGTATGTATGTATGTAACGAAATTTTTGAACTCGATTTTTACCCACGTTAAAAGGTCAGATAATTCAAAACTTTGCACACTCGTGAAGAATCGATGACAATACAGTTATAGAATTGTATTGTCATCGGCTCTTAATAATTATGTAATGATAACGTAGCTGCGTATGTACCAAATGTTTCTATGTATTTTGTTAACAATGTAGTTTATATAATAATATTAAAAAGAAATTATACAACAATATAGGAAGTTTGTCCGATGATCCTGAGCAGCATCTTCAGGATTACCGGCTACTTCCATATTTAAAAAAACGGTAGTAGAGTCGTCCCACGTATTTAGGCGTGTTACTTTTTTAGTGTTTAATGAGAAAATATTCATCATTACAGACTAAAAAAGGCATAAAAAGGGTAAGGCAAATTTAAAAAAACTTATACTTACTACTTATACTTCGCTCACAACGCCGAATAGCTTGGCTTATGCAGAACCGATCACGGATATCTGTTCACGATTTCGCTCTGACCTATGGTTTGTCACAACTGGTATCAACACCCACGCGAGTTCCAGATGTGGAAAGTCATGAGCCTTCACTGTTCGACCTCCTGCTGACCTCCGATCTCCGGATCAAAATGAAAAAATGAAAAAAATGCTGTTGAAGCCCCACTTGGCTCCTCGGATTATTGACTTATCCGGAGTACAGTGCATCTCATGCGTCCTTCCCGTGGAGACAGGTTTGTTTCTTGCCGGATGATAGATAGATAGATAGATAGATAGATAACTCTTTATTTGCACACTAAATTACAGAGTTACAAGAAAGGAACACAACGATCAAATATCGAGTGTACAAAGGGCGGTCTTATTGCTAAATGCAATTTCTTCCAGGCAACCTTAGGATGGATCAAAAGTTGCAGAGAGACAGTAGTAGTTGAATATCTGCATTTTTGAACCTACTATTAGTTTATTATTATCTACTATACATATTACATATACTACACATATTATATTATCTACAAACATTTACAATTTTTATACTTACATCTACAATGCATATCACAATAAATAAACCTACATTTACATACGTACCTACATACTATACCAGCAAATATACATATACACATACATATATAAATACGCATTCTTAAATGAATAGACATATAGAAAAGAGAAAAAGTTTCGTTACACCCTCAAGCGTGATGGACTCAATTAAGGTGAATAAAATTCCTGTACCATTTTCTTAAATCTATTTAATGTTTGCGCCTGCCTGATGTTAAGCGGCAGTGCATTCCACAAGCGCACAGCTTCAACAGTGAAGGATTGATCATAAAGTTTGGTGGAATGCAGTGGCATCTCCAGTTGTAAACTTACGGATGACCGCAGACATTTTTCGTGTGTGTCATTAAGGAACTTGAATCGTTCTTTGAGGTAGAAAGGGGTTTTGGGATTAAACAAAATGTTGTAAAGGAAAATAAGGATATGAGTATTCCGGCGAGAGCGAATTGGAAGTCACTTGAGCATTTGACGGAATTCAGAGACGTGATCGTATTTTCGTAAACCAAATACGAATCGTATACACATATTTTGTAGTCGCTCAAGCTTATCGAGTGAGTGAGATGATATCACCCTCGATGCCGATTCTGTCACTGATGTAGTGCTTCAGGGCATGGAACTATTCGTGCCTTCTACATTAATTCCCATTAGTGGCAGATCCAAGCCCTGGTTTGACAGATCCTGCAAAACGGCGTCTCGCCAAAATCGGAAATGCTATCAAGCATGGGCAAATGCAGCGACGTTAGGCGATGTAAATACCAGCACGCTAAAAGAACTATACAACTTGGCCTTCAGGTCCCTTAACAGAACTTTTGTTAGGGCGAAATCGGAGACTGGTAAGACTTCCTTTTGAAACTCGTGCATTCTGGTTTCTTGCCTTAGCTGCCCAGGGGTCTTGCCTTAGCGGCCAATCCCTTCCACCCCTGCAAATGGGAGATAATTTGTTGGCCTATGATGCCAAGGCGAAAGCCGATCTCCTAGGCAAACTCTTTGCATCCAACTCGATTTTGGATGACAGGTGAAACGTGGCTTGGCACCGAATTGAAACCTATCAATAGGTAGCACATACAAACAATAGTATTTTATTAATATTAAAGGCTATGCAAGATTATGCTTATGCAATAAGAGGTGTATTATCTTTAATCTTTATTAAGTTATTTATACTTTTTAGTTTTTGAAGTCGGTTTTTTTAAACGTAGTTTTTTTTATTTTTTACTTTTTAGTGTCTGAAATAGGTTGTTCTGTTAACTACAGTAGGATTTTTCTAGATTACATCAGGTAAACTATAACGTTTCGTTGCTTTTTATTGTCATATATCTAATAGTATTTTTTTTAGTTTTCAAATAGTAAGTAGCTATGGGTACGCCTACGAAAGGTGCAGCGCGCCTTAAACAATATAGAGCCTAAGAAACGGGAACGGAAAAAAGGAATCGACTCCGAAAAAATGCTGTTCGAAACTCTATTTCACGTTCTTGTGAGACAGAGATAGATCGTTTGTTAGCTATGAAAAATTATATAAAATTACGTTCACGTCAAGAAACTCTTGAACAATATGAGTCTAGACTCGCTAAGATTCAAGAACGTCTTGCTAAAGAGACATCTGAACAGCAAGCGCATAGGTTAGGCCTCGTCTAGCCAACGAGTCTGCTGAGCAGAGGGCTCATAGACTCGGTCTTATTTATGATCGATTAGCCAACTAATCTGCTCAGAAACGAGATACCCGGCTGGCGACAGCGCGACAGACGTCACAAAGACTACGTTCAATGATTGAGTGTAATTTTCTGACTACTATAAATCAGTACGCTGAAGTACCCTGTACAGTTTGTAAGAAATTATTGTATCCAAAACAACAAATGTCATTAGCGCCAACACGTTTCGATTTCCTTCCGCAAGAGTTAGTAGCTTTGAATAAAATTATCGTATGTTCACGTTGCTCGACTAGCATAAAAAAAAAGAAAAGATCCTTCTCAGGCCTACTGGAACAACATGGAAGTTATGTTTTTGCCTGCTGAACTGGCCGACTTGACAGACGTGGAGCAAAGACTTTTGTCAAGAGTTCCTTTTATGAAAATTATTAAGCTACAAAATCGTTTTAGCCAGAGTTGGTGTCGTGGACAAGTAATTTTATTAGCTCAAGACGTCGTCGAAGTAGCGGAGCAGTTACCGTTGCCTTTAACTCAGGCAGG